TNNNNATATATATATATAAAATAAAAATATTCAATCATTTACATCATTTGGGGATTGGAGTTGTAACTTTTGGATAAGTTGTTGAGGTCCGGTAATTAAAAACCGGAAAAGATTGTTATGGTTGGGGAAGAGATATTGAGTCACTTAACCATATTGTATCCCACCTTGTCCAAAGAGCCTACATTACAACCCGTAAAGACCCTATAATTCATAACTTGTAATTTTTTATTACATTTGAGTAGACATTAGATGACAGGCAAGCATATAGTTAACTGTGGATTCCGACCGATTTGAGCGTTCCTATTTTTACTGATATGGTGAAATTGAGTGAGGATTTGAAGCATGAGCTTGACTTGGAACCGTTATGGTTGGTCCTGTTCTTGTTTGTGCCATGAAATTAGATAGATTTCTGAAAAACTCTGGATCTTGAAATAGAACAGAGTAATCTATCGTCATAGATGGTACAGTTGAATTGTCAATTGTTTGAGCAGGGTGACCACTGGTTCCAGCATCTGGATTTCGTTCTTGTTGCCCAGAACTTGACATAGTGATAATACGTGTGTGAATATGTTCTCTACACACGTATATAGCGAGTTAAAAGTTAACCTCAAATTTTGTAGGCCCTCCTTCTAGCGCCAAACTGTTGTTGTATGAAATTAACAACTCAAAATAAAAACAGCAGGGTGTGCTTAAACAGAAATAAGAAGATAATCATATATTTCTGATGATTTTTCAAAAGTACAGGAAGTCGGATTTTTTATCTTGACCGAGATCATTTTATGTCTGTGTACAATGTGCGAAAAAAGATCCTCGCACGATCATAAATTCTGCTTATTATAGTACGGTTGTTTTTGTCTTTTTGTCCGAGGTAGATAAGATCGCATTTACTGTTGAGCAACTTCAATAAAGCGGTGTGTAATGAAGCAAGGGAACATCAATGATTGCTTCTTGTTTTGATGGTCCAATCGAATGTGTACAACACCATCTGCTTGGATATTTGATCCCCTCGGATGTCGGTTAAATGGATAAATTTTGATGCAGCGGATCACGATGTCGGTGAGGTCGGTGATCGGTCTCTTGATAAATAGTCGGTTCTACTTTCGACCATCTGAAAGTCGGTAATTAATTTATTCAACTGGTACCGACTTGAGTTAAGTTCTGCTATTTCTGGGGAACTATTGAACAAGGCGGTTAATCTTTAACTTAATCTCTTGAAACCAAGTCGGTCATCAACATACTTATTGGAGAATGGGATTACATCCCAGCTGACTGCGCCTGGTACTCCCCAACAGAATGGCGTAGCAGAAAGAGTTAATAGGACTCTGTTGGAAATGATGAGATCGATGATGAGCTATGCTTCATTACCTATCTTTGTTTTGGGGATACGCCTTGGAAACGACGGTGGATCTTCTTAACTTTGTGTCTTCTAAATCAGTTCCGAAAACCCAATAGAATTGTGGTCCGGGCGCAAGCCCAGTTTCAACCACATTCAGACTTGGGGTTGCCCAACACATGTATTGGATAAGGAAGCTGATAAGTTGGCATATAGAACAGAAGTACGGTTGTTTGTAGGTTACCCAAAGGGAACGAGAGGTGGTTGCTTTTATAGCTTTAAAGACCAGAGGGTGGTGGTAAGCACCAAATGCCCAGTTTTTGGAGAAAGACTATATGAGTGAGCATAAGTCCAAGAGTGAGATTATTCTCAGAGAGTTGAGGGAAGACAGAGGCATACCGAGTGTGCAAGAGGATATACCACAAGAGACTGTACAACGTGTTGATTCTGATGTATTTACACCTAAATTGCCTCGTCGTAGTGGGAGGGTTGTTCGCCAGCCTGATTGTTTCATGTTTGTGGGAGAGTCTTCGGACTTGATCCTAAGTGAAGAACATGATAGTGATCCCTGGACCTATAAACAGGCAATCCAAGACGTTGATGCAGATTCTTGGCATAAATCTATAGATTCTAAAATTGAATCTATAGATGTTATGGAGGTATACGACCTTAGGGACCTTCCTGAAAGCAAGAAAGCCATTTAGTGTAAATGGGTCTATAGACATAAGAGAGGATCTAACAGGAAGGTTATTGCCTTTGAAGCACGGTTAATTGCGAAGGGTTTCACCCAGAAAGAGGGAATCGATTTGATGAGACCTTGTCACCAGTAGCCATGCTGAAGTCGATCTAGATTCTCTTATCCATAGCAAGTCACATGAATTATGAGGTTTGGAAAATGGAGGTCAAGACAACTTTTCTTAATGGAAACATGGATGAAGACATCTATATGCAGCAACCCGAGGGTTATGTGAAGAAAGACCATGAGCATCGAGTATGGAAGCTAAAGAAGTCTCGTTATGGACTAAAGCAATCTTCTAGGTCTTGGAATATTCGTTTTGACAAGGTGATCAAGTCCTATGGATTTGATCACTGTCAAGACAAAAGTTGTGCATACAAAAAATAGCAACGAAAACGTAATTGTATTCTTAGTACTATACGTAGATGATATTCTCCTCATCGGCAACGATGTCAAGATTTTGTCAGACGTATACGGCTTTCAGAGCAAATAAAGGACTTGGGTGAGGCATATTACATTCTTGGAATCAAGGTCATTCATGACAAGAAGAAGAGAATGTTGTGTTTATCCCAAGTTGCTTACATTGATACTGTGATTGCTCGTTTCAGCATGCAGAACTCCAAGAAAGAGTTACTACCTTTTCGGCATGGAGTTCCTCTATCTATGGATATATGTTCGAAGACACAAAAGGAGATGGAGAAAATGGCCAAGGTTCTTTATGCTTTGACTGTAGGAAGCCTTATGCATGTCATGTTGCGCACGAGGCCTAATATTTGCTATGCGGTTGGCATGGTTACGAGATATCAGTCTAACCCTAGTTAAGGACACTGCTGGACTACGGTAAAGCATATTCTCGAGTATTTAAAAAGAACTCGAGATTATATGTTGGTTACCAGCCAGACAGCCTAACTTCTTTGGGTTACATAGATTTTGATTCCCAAGTTGATCGAGATAAGAAAAGTTAACCTCGGGTTTTGTGTTATGATGGCAGGCAGAGCAATCTGATGGAGGAGTGTGAAGCAGAAATGCATCGTAGACTCCACCATCGAAGTCGAATACGTTGCTGCTTCAGAGGCAACAAAGAAGGTTGTTTGGCTCAGGAGCTTCTTACTGGACTTAGGGGTAGAGTGTGCCGAAGTGTATCAAAATTTATTGTGACCCTGCTAGTGCAGTTGCAAACTCAAGAGAACCCAGAGTGCAGAAGGCAAGTAAACACAAAAAGAAAAAGTACCACCTTATACGAGAGATCGTAAAACGGGAATATGTGGTTGTGACGAAGATAGCATCGTTGGATAACCTATATGATCTCTTCATGAAGACTCTGACCATCAAGGTCTTCAAGAAACACGTAAAGGGTCTTGGTTTACGATGTGTTGCAGCTAGACTTTGAGTATAAGCGGGAGAATTGTTATAACATGTGTTTGTATACTAAAAGCTTAGCTTTAGTATAAGTGGAAGATTGTTGGAGTATACTGTAAAACAAACTTTTATGTGAGCTCTTAGAATATATTTATTCGATTTCTTAGTTGACTGAAATAAATGTTTTCACATTGTTGCACTCTTTATGATTGCATGTATACTAAATGTCCAGTTATCTTATATTGTAGACAATGTGGTGTCTTACTAGTCACACCGAAGATTACATTGTCGGTTCCTTATAAGATATAAATGCTATTCACAACTAAGATAGTTATGGACATGACTATCGATTTAAGTTGTAGTGTAAACTGTATGTAGCTTGACTTGGCTATTGGTTTATACTAGTGCGCTGCGTCGCATTGAAATGATCACAATTGATACGTGTTATTCTGTTCTGACTGTCATGAAGAACCAAGTGTCATGAAGAACCAAGGTTTCGATGACTCTACTAATTCTTAACCCTAACTGTGATATTTAGATATGTGGGATATTTGTTTGTTACTTACACTTACCATGGGTTAGAACCAAGTATTGGTTCAATATTCTCCGTATTAAAAACTAAGATCCTAATTAAATAAATGAAATCTAAACAATGCAATAAAATAAAAATAAAATAGAATAAATAAAGAGAAAATCTAGTTCACAGTTCCGTCTACACCCTCGACCGACTAGTCTAATCAACTTTGGTATCAAATTTCACTATCTTATGAAATTACTAGCCCTAGGCAACGACACGGTCATTTACCTGAATTTTTCCTTATTTTTAATTTAATCGCGAGACGCTCTACGATTAAACGTGACTTCTTGTACAATCCAGAAAAACGTTTTCAACATTTAATACAATTAGCCGCTTTAGGAATTAAAAAAATAGGCTAGACTAAGTAGTGAGCTCAACCGCGTTCGTTCACTTAAATAGGTCATGTTATCCCCGGTAGTTACCGTCTTCCGGTTTCCTCTTATTAATTAAATACAAAAACAATTACGGATTGAAGGTCTATTTCAGCTATAGATATGAAAAACTTTATCTAGGTGATCAATCTAAATAAGACTCAACAAATCATGGTTAATTATTCAAAATAACACATACAATTCCAAAAAGATATTAAAATTATCAACCACGTAAATTAATCAAACACCGTCAAGTCGTAGGGTTCAACTTCCCCGAAACTAGAAATAAAATCTAGTCTAACATACTAATAAAAATAAATAAAAGATAAAAGAGAGAGATTAATTATTTCCCTCGTGTGCGGGTGCGGCCTCCCTCCGCGATTAATCGAGTTCCTATTCGGCTCGCGTTCTCGTTCTCTTTTCTCTGTTTTGCGGCTTTCTTTCCCGTATGTGTGGCGGCTCGGTGCGTGGTATCCTTTTTCCTTGGTGGCGTGAATAATATTCTCCACGCAAATAAATCACTTTTGTTGTTAAATCCAAGACTCTTCAGCAAATAATGTGCTTAAGCCTTCAATTATTTCCTTCCTCGGGTGAAAGTCTCTCTATGACCATAATACACATTTCAAATTAAATTTGGGCTACCAATTCTTCCTTGGCCCAATTAGCTTTCTTTTTTTTTTTCACAACAAACAATAAATTTCATAACACCTCAAGAAAATACAATGTTCGGTAATCAACGGATTACATACCCAGTTTACCGGGGGAAGCATGACCCCCCTTATCAAAGCCATCTCGGCTGTTAAAAACCAAATAACATACACAACCCTGACAAACAACAAACACAAACTCACACTCTACTCTATTTGCTTAAAATTACAAGCAGTAAGGAAAGAACAAACATCAAATATATCTTCAACTATGACTTGCATTTGACATTCCATATGAGTCTGCATGTTTAACTTTTGTGCTATTCCTTTGCTCTTAATGAATACCACCACCCTTGACCATCCTTGTTGTATGCCATGTATGAGCCATTCCCTGAGTTCCAACAGCTCTATTTCCACAGATATCGACTGCTTTAATCCCTCCTTGGCTTTGATCCAACATACTATCTTCACAACAGCTATTAAATTCCAACCATTCTCCTCTAGCCATTGCTGCAACCTGTATCTCAGACATCTGTTTCTGTTCAAATATCCAGTGGTTCCTTGTTTTCCACAACCGCCACAATAAATATGTAGATAAAGAGATTCTGTTTTTGTTGTGGTCATTGTGTTTCAAAGAGCATAAATCATACCACCAGTTTTTGAATTCTATTTGTTCACTACTCACTATGTCCCATTGTAACCCTGCTAGTTTCCAAACAGTTTGGGCTCTGATATACTGAAAAAATAAATGCTCTAGATCTTCTTGACCCTCTCCACACTAACTACATACTGTATCCATATCCAAACCCTTCTCCTCCAGCCTCATTTTTGTGCCTATCCAATTGTGCCAACACCTCCATATAAAATTCTTTATCTTCTGTTTTATTGGCAATTTCCAAGTGATTTTACACATGTGTTGTGTTCTCTCATAACCCCCACTTGACTCAATTCTCCCCATAGCTGTCACCTTTGCTTGCCTAATCACAAAATATGCATTCTTGACCGTAAACACTCCCTTTTTATCTGTATGCCACACCAGTTTGTCCTTCATGCCCCTCTGACTTATATGCATCTTCAGTATTTGCTCTGCCTCATGTGGCTAGAAAGTCTGCAATATCAACTCCTTATCCCAATGCTTGCCATCATGTAACATTAAATCTGCAACTCTTTTCAACTTTCTCCTGTCATCAGAAAAACAGCACATGGGTTTAAATTGAGGCACATCTGGGATCCAAGGGGAATCCCAGATGTTTATGGCAAGCCCATTCCCCACTTGATATCTCATCCCTAGCTTCAAAGACGTCCTAGCTTCTAACCAGCACTTCCACATCCATGAGTCACTATTCTTTTTTTTTTTTTTTATATTCATAATATTCTGGTTGTGGAAGTACTTACCTTTCACCAATTTGCTCATTAAAAGATTAGGCTTAGTTAAGACTCTCCACAACTGCTTCAAGATTACTGCTTCATTCAAATCAGTAAACTGTCTAAAGCCTAATCCTCCCTCCCCTTTAGGTTTAGCCAATTTTTCCCAATTCGCCCAGTGAATATTATTCCCACTCTCCCCCTTTTTATTCCACCAGAATTTAGCTATAACTCTACAAATATCCTCACAAATAGCCACTGGAATTCTGAAAACAGACATGACATAAATATGAAGTGCATTTAAAAATGTTTTGATCATAATCTCCTTCCCAGCTTCACTTAGGAATTGTTTTTCCAGCTGGTCACCTTGGCTATCACACATTCTTTAACAAAAGAAAAAATCTCTTTTTTATTTTCCCCTATCCCTAATGGTAAGCCCAAATATTTAGATTTTTTAGCCACATTTATTCCAGGATACATATTACAAATCTGATTCCTAACAGCCTCAGGGGTATTAGCAGAGTAAAAAATACTGGATTTATGAAGATTAACAGCTTGACCAGAAACTCTACAATAGGAATTGATTACATACAAAAGAGCAGAAGCATTACCATAATCAGCTTGACACAAAAGAAGAGAATCATCGGCAAAAAATAAGTGAGAGATCATAGGGGCTGTTTTACTAATTTTAAGACCTTGTAAATATTTTGATTTGATGGCTTTATTGATACCATTAGACAAGGCTTCAGTGACAATGATAAAGAGATAAGGAGACAAGCGATCCCCTTGTCTCAACCCTCTAGTTGGCACCACATGACCCCTAGCTTGACCATTGATATTTACAGCAAAAAAAGAAGTAGAGACACAGGACCAAATCCAAAATAAAAACTTTTCACAGAACCCCATTTGTCTACAAATCCTAATAAGAAATCCCCACTCAACCCGGTCATAAGCTTTTTCCATATCAAGTTTCAAGGCCATATATCTTTTTCTACCTTTTTTCCTGCCATTCAGATGGATACATTCATTTGCAATAATGACATTATCCAATATCTGTCTACCAGGAATAAAGGCAGATTGAGACTGAGAAATGCACACATGAAGGACCCCCCTTAATTCTATTAGCTAAGACCTTTGCTATGATTCTGTAAGTAAGAACATAAACTTATAGGTCTGAATTCACTAACATTTTTGGGGAATTTGACCTTGGGAATTAATGTAATGGTTGTCTTATTAGTATCTTTAGGCATACAACAATATTCAAGAAAATTGGTTACAGCTAGACAAAGATCATGCTTTATGATATCCGAAGATGACTGAAAAAACAAAGGAGTGAAACCATCCATACCTGGTGCCTTGTGTGGATCCATGTCCCATAGTGCTTTCTTGATTTCCCCTTCATCCACCATTCTAGTAAGTTTCTAATTCATTTCTGTTGTAATGGATTGAGGAATACCTATCAAAAATTCATTATCCACACTTGGGTTTGATGATGTAAACAACCTCTCAAAAAATCCCAGCACTTCTTGCAAGACTTCTTCTTCATTTTCACACCTGCCCCCATTTAATTTTTCCAAGTTATCTAAACAGTTCTCTACCCTTCTTTGCCTCACACATGCCTGGAAAAACTTTGTATTTTTATCCCCCTCCTTCAGCCATCTAATCCTAGCCTTCTGCTTCCAATACATCTCTTCCTTTGTATATGCTATATGCTCTCTTTTTTTACATTCAAACCACTCCTCCCAATCTCTAAAACCCCCCTGTTGCCCCATCACCTCCAACTTCTCATTACACTCTTTAATCACCTTGGCTGAATTAGTTTTCTGCTGAACTACCCAAGCCATTAATTCCCCTCTAACATTTTTAAGTTTTTGCTGAAATATGTACATCCCTTGTCCAAAAGCAGTGCTACCCCACCCTTTTGCAACACAATCTAAGAAACCTTCTCTCTTCACCATTCTGCTATCAAAGTAGAACCTCTTCTTCCCCCTACTATCATTACCCTCACTATCCATCATTAACATACAGTAATCAGATGATGCCAGAGGAATGTGAGTAACTTTGGTATTAGGGAAGTTAAGGATCCAATTAGGAGACATAAAAATCCTATCAATTCTAGCTTCAACAAACTCAAAACCTTTTCTATTATTAGAGATGTATATGGATGTCCTGATATAGGACATTCTATAACCTCTAACCTCTGCACAAAATCTCTGAATGACTGAAAACTAGACTCTGCCCTTCTAACCCCCCCTCTCTTTTCCCCATTTTAAAATCCCCTCCCACAAACCACATGTCCCCCCATTTATTTTGATTTTTAATTAAATATTCACATTGATCCAGTCTAACAATGCTATCTACACTAACATAAATAAACACAGCCCACATAGAAGTGTTATCCCCCCCTCATCCTAAAACAAACTTCAAAACAAAAGCTACTGGCAATAATATTAATCACATTAACCTTATCAGACCAACATAAAAAAAGCCCACCCCTCTGACCTTCTGGATTAACATATACCCACTTATCTCCTACACCTAAGTTTTTGCAGAAAGTTTGCACAAAAGCCCTCTTCTTTTTTGTTTCAGACAAAAATGTAAAAGTAGGGAGGTAGGCTCTCATTTTAGCCTTCAACTGGGGAATTGTAGAGGGTCCTCCCAGACCTTTACAATTCCACACCAGTACCCTCATTTTGAAATGTGGGACCATTTTTGGGTGGTCTCCTCCACCATTTTATTGTTCTCATTAGATCCTACTCTCTGTTTTTTTGACCCCATATCAGTTTGAATAAAATGACCTGAATCTACCCCACTAGATTTTCTTTTAAATCCTACATCCCCTCCCTTAACAACATGCCCACTGCTATCCCCTCCCATCCCTTTTTCACTACCAGACACACCCTTACTCCTAGCTATCCTAATGAAATTTCTCTGATTTTTATTTTTAGCACTCTTATGCTCCTCTTGCTGGACAGTTACATCTATCAAATTGTAATCTTCAAACACATTTTCACCTATATCCTCACTTACCATAGCAACTATCTCAGCTCCCTGATTCCCTCCCACATCACTCTCCTTCCTTTCCTGTCCCTGACTCTGCCCGTCCCTAACTAATTCTACTGACTTGACAATATCCTCATCTACTGCATTTACATTTCCTTGTATAGGGGATTTGCTACCTCTAGACTCCTTACCCCCCATTGTTCCACTAGGGCTTGCTTTCTCTCCCTCCCCACTCACACCTTTACTAGACTCAAAATTAGGATTAGGACTTTGGGTACTCAATGATTTCCTCTCTCTACCCTCCCAAATGTCCCCAATTGGACCTCTTAACCAATCCCCAAACTGCCCTGATTTGACCACATTCCTCTGGAGATCATCTTTCTTGTACTCACACAATCTCTCATGGTGCCCAATTCTCACGCAATAAAAGCAGAATGTTAATAAATTTTCGTACCTGAATTCAATCCAATGCTCTTCTGCCCCAAATTTAATATTGATTCCCCTGGGTAGCGGCTCTATCACACTAACATCCACTAAAATTTTAATCACCCTCCCATTAACACTTCCAGCTCCTAGCACCACCACATCTTTGACCTTCCCAAATATTTGCCCTACCTTCAATCCTGTCTCCATGGATATCCAATGTAGTGGCAACTTGTGGATTTGCACCCACAATTCAACACTTAGTTCTTCATCTTTAAAATCTGTCTCCCCTTTCTTCCATGCTTTGAGGATGATGTATTGCCCATCGAACGACCAAGTTTTACGCTTCAATACGCTAAGTTTATCCTCAGCTTATTGGAATATGAACTGATAGAGGTTGTGTCCCAAACCCTTATAGAGAAAGGTCTGTTTGTTCTCCACGCCACTGCCATAGTTGTTTTAAGCCCTTCTACACTAACTTTCTTTTCTCCAACAACCTTTGCAATAAGGCTAAGCTCGCATTCTTGCACCCCTGGTTAAATATCGGCCACCAATAAGGTGATACCCACTCGTTCCTTGTCTGAAAAAGCAAATCTATTCATTTTGTCGATTAGATCTTGCTCCATTTCTTCCTCTTCACAGAAACTTACTAGAATGTTGGAATCCGTAGATCTCGAAAAAGCCTGTAGGTCCACAGCCACCAAAGCCACACAGAATAGATTTACCACTCCGATCTGGCTCAAAAACCCTAATCTCCCACCTTAATCGCAAAAAGAGCAGATTGGAAACTGTAGAAACCCTAACTTGAAAATAGGAAGTAATAAACGGCAAACTACTAACGGGAAACAAGAAGACGCGAAAAGGAGAGAAAAAGTATAGATCTAGTAGACTAAAACATAAGGCGATTTAGATGAAGACGCAAAGATATGAGGATGGGGCTGTAAGGATTACAGATTGATTTTTTCCAATCAATGGAAATGTGGAATACTCTAATCAAAAGAGAGAAAAAATCTCCACTAGAGAGAGAATCCAGTAGTCCTTGGCCCAATTAGTTGAAATTAAGTTTTGGTCCTTCAATCACCACATATTCCAGTCCACATTAATCCATTGTGGCCCTTCAATTCTCTAGTATTGGGTCGCCTGCAAAAATAACGAAATATGCTGAAAATAAACCATAAAAATATCAAAGCAAATAAATCCATCTAAATAATAAATAAGTAAAAAAAAAACGTGCGAATAAATTAAGCATATAAAAATACGCAATTAATATATAGAATACACACTTTTCCTGACCAATCAATTGGCATTAGGGCACCGTGTCCTGGTCATCCAGGTTGATGATGTCCCCTTAAGGAACTCATAAGGATTATCTTATTAACCCCTGTAGGTGGATTTAATCCGTACGATAATAAGGTCGAGCGGTACCACTTAAGGAATAACATATACTAATTAACAAAAGAAGTCAGAAGCATTAATAATTAATGGACCTGCGATATCTTAACCACGCCCACGCACACGCAGACAACACTCGACTGGCAGCGACCCGCAGGCAGTGCCCGATTCGCACGTCTCATTTAATATTTGGAGGTTACAAATCAACATTAAGAGAGGAGACCATTCTCATTTTTCCCACACGTCACCACTTCTCTCTCACTCGGCTCCCTCCCTCTTTCTCTCTCTTTTCCTTTCTTTCATTTTCCTTGTTTTCGCCGGCAAGCTCCCAGCCCCGCCACCATCTCGCCGGGAAGCTCTGCAGCACCTCGCTAGAACCGCTGGAAAGCCGCGACCCGCCCGCGCTCCTCCACCCACACGCAGAAACGCCGGCCACCACCACGATCGACGACCACCTTGCGCCTCCGCCCCGCGATTACGAGCCAACTTTGATCGTCACCTTCACGAGCGAGCTGCCGTTAAACGTCGAGCGAGCCAAGCGGACGATTTTTCCCGCCCGTAGGACTTGTCGTGTCCGAGCTCCATTTTCTGAAATCTATTCTCGACTTTTTCCCTTCGTTGTTTGGTAAATCCATTTTTACTAAATTCCACAATTTTACGATTATATGTGATGTTCGTGAATTTGATATGTGTTGATGACTATATGTTCGATTCAAATGATTTTTTCGTCTAATATTTATCCAACATCATTAGATGTTATGAAGTCCTCATTATGTTCGATCATTGCTGACATATAAGTGATATTGTGTGCTGTCGAGTCGTTATGTGAACCGAGGTTGAGATTCAAATATTCAAAATGCATATGATATCATTTTATGTGAAATAATGTCTTTTCACTGTTCTATTGTGCTGCGGTTTGAGCCATCATAAACTGAATATTTGAAGTTATTACCTTTATAAGAATTGTAATACGTTGAGTTTTCTATATCTTGGCTTTGGAATTTCTTGATTCCGAGCTATATCGATAAAGTTATGATTTTTACAAGATTTGTTGTACGTCCAGTTTTTCTGTACCCGGCAGTATAAATGTATTTAATGGTTGATCTGTTTTTCATGTCAAAATGTTCTCGTATGAACTTACACTATTCATGAAAGTTATACATCTGTCTCTTAACTTTCAAATGAGATAAATTTCATGTTGATATGTGCTCTGTAGCTCGAACTGTGTTCACATGAAGTTAGATATGCATGAGTTAGGATTCATCACTTTGGCAGAAATATGATAATGAATGTTAACCGATTTTTCACTATCCAAATGATCTCTTATGACTCTGTGTTATAAATGAAAGTTGTAGAGGCATGCTTAAGATTTAATTTGATACTTGAACCATATCATTTGAAGGTATGTAGCTCGAGTTAAATGATAAAGACTGAGGTGCTGTCCATATCATATGTTAATTCCTGACAGTTTTACGGAATCACATGTTTTGTGTTTAAACTCGTTGAATATGTGATTATTTGCCAATGTGATCTTCAGAAAGGTTGTAGACATTTGAGGTTCCTATCATGTTGTTTTTGAATTTCATCAAAATCATGCCTGTAGCTCCAGTTATATAGTAAATACTGAAGTCTGGTCAAGTTCAATTTCCCAGTTTTGGACTGTGACTCAAATTTTAATGTTTGTTGATTTATCACCTGTTAAATGACCTTATTTGCTTTCAGTGTCTTCATAAGGGTTGTAGTTTTATCTCTTAGGATTCTAATGAAATTTTATTCATGTTCATATGAGTTATATGGTGAGAGTTATGTCGATTTTAAAAACGCTGCCCGGGTCAAGTTTTCAAAACTTATGTGATATTCTCGAAAATGTGTTTTCCCTTGTTTTAGTGCGTGCTTAAATGACTGCATGAACCTAATTAGACTTAGTGGTTATAGAATAGTCCTTGATAAGGCTATGTTACTAATGTAGGTGTTTGACGAGTCGACCTCGCCGCCTATCTTATTTTGTGTTTATTCCGATCGCTACCAGGTGGGTTCATTTATGTTGAATCTACATTTATCGCACTTGTTATTTTATATAAATGTTTGTCGCGATAGTTTTTGTATGCGTGAGAACCCTAGTCTAAGAGTCCTGATGGTAGTGCCTTTGACGAATGCATAATCAATGGAAGTCACCTGCCCGTTTCATCAGGGAGGTGGACGCCCGAATCCGTGTAGAGCGGAGGGGATTGTGTGAACGCCCGAATCCGTGTCAATTGGAGAGGTAATTCAACTTCACTGTCTCCTGGATAAGATCCTATGCCCGTTGCATCCGGGGTGGGAGTGCTTCCAGTTACATCCTCGCCGATATCTGGTCGGGAGGTTTGTTGTATGTACATAAGAGGTTTGCGATAAGGCCTAATAGGGAGTTAGATATGTATTCTATGCATACATTATTTATGGTTATGGATCTTTATGCGAAATATACTGTGCGGTAATGGTGAGTATGATGGTTGTACTCACCCCCATTTACTTTTCTGTCCTCTTGTTCCTCTTCCTATCTTTTTTAGGTTGAGCATTGGTTGGCGGCGGTAGCGAGAGACGATCGAGTGGTGGTCGTTGAATTCTGTGTTACTTGCTTCCGCTTTCTATTATCTCGATAAACCATTTGTCCAACTTTGAATAACTTTGTTTCCGCTTTATTTATTTCGAACCTGTTGATTTGACTATTGAATTCTGTTGAAGTATTTGTTTATGCATGACTAGTTTGAGGTTTATGGATAACTTGGAATTTTATTTTGAACTGTTAGTTTTTATCTATGTAAATGTTTATTTGTTTTAGTTGTTTAAGTAGCGCCCATCGAATATTAAAGTTTTAATTGGGATTTTGCGAAAAACAAACTCTGATTTTTATAAATAAATTCGGTAAATTCTTTAAAATAAAATGGGGCGTTACAGTATGGTATCAGAGATAGTCTGCGTTTCTGTAGACTATCTCTAGTGTTAGTTTGTTTAACGACCATTCGACCACTCGCTTTCGTCTCGCCGCGCCAACTCGAGGTTTGAATTTTATTTGTTGTATTTGATCTTATATGGGGCTTAGGAATTTATCCACCTTTGATTTAAAGTTTGAACTCTAGTGTTTCATGGAGAACTCTAGACTTCCTATATTGTGTAAATATTAATTTTTTGCTAAACTCTTTTCGGTTTGTTCATGTAGAACTATGGCCAATCGTAACAATCGCAATACCCGCAATGCTCGCAATCGTCAGCCAACCCCGCCTCCATCCCCGACTCATCTCCTCCTCGTCAGCAGGCCCCGCCTGCCATGCACTTTATGAGGCTCATCGTGCAGTTCCAGAATATGCATGCGCCCACCTTCTCGGGGAGTGAGACCCCCATAACTGTGCTGGAATGGATGAAGGAGTTAGATAAGATCTTCGCTGTGCTCCATCTTCCGGACAAACAGCGTGTTGCTCTCGCCGCCTTTCAGATGAAGGAGGATGATTCTGATTGGTGGATCGACCACTGGACCCGGAGGCCAGAGGCCGAGCTTAATGCTCTCACCTGGGAGCAGATGAAGGCGATGGTTCGTAGCAAGTTTCTTCCCCAGAGTTTTTGGGATCTTATGGAGCATGAGTTCTACCACTTGCAGCAAGGCAGTACCAATGTGGACGAGTACATCCGCACTTTCACCCGAATGTGCGTCTTTTCCGGTGACTACCGATGAGAAGAAGGCTCGAAAGTTTCTGAACGGGCTGAATCAGAGGGTTCGTGAGTTAGTCGGGAGTCATGGCCCGATGTCCTATGCCGACACGGTGAGTCGAGCTCAGGGAGTGGAGAGTCTTCTCGTTCCGATGGCTCCCGTTCCTTCTTATTATCATGTTTCGCAGCCTGCTCAGACTGCACCGCTAGCCCATCCCCCGCCGTCTTATCAGCCGCCTTTCATTGCTCAGGCGCCTTATCCGTATCCCGTTCCGTATTCCCCCGCTCCTCCATCCTCTAGCTTCGGAAGGAGGAAGAACGATCATCAGAACCGCAAGAAGGGCAAGCGCCCTAACCATGGCCCCCGCCATCCCCAGCAGCAGCCTGTGGCTGAGGACATCCAGCCCATCCGTCAGGTTCCAACAGGACCGCAACCATGTAGAGCATGCGGAATAACTCATGAGGCCAACTTGTGTCGTGCCGCCGACATGATGTGCTATAATTGTCAGAGGAAAGGCCACTTCTCCCGTACCTGTCCCGAACCCCGGAGGCCACCCCAGCATCAGCGTCAGCCTCAGCAGCAGCAGCAGCGTGCACCAGCTCGGGTCTATGCTTTGACCCAGGAGGAGACATCCAACAATGCAGGTACAATATCCGGTATGTTATCTTTATCCAATGTACCTATATTTGCACTATGTGATACCGGAGCCACACATTCCTTTATTTCTCGTCAATGTTTGGAGTCACTAATAAAAGTAATTAATTAAGTTCTATGTTAGAACTATTTTACTTTTATTAATAATGATCTTTTATATTTCCAAGACTTAATAAATCTCCTAGAATTTTATTATTCATTTTAAGGTCAAGATCAATCCATTAATTTGGAATTATAATTTAGCAAAGGTTGGCCTTATAAGTAAATTAAGCTCGGTTTAAGTTAACAGTGCCGAGAAATTCCTAAGTTATAGTCGAGCCTTAGTATTAAATACTTATAATTTTTCTAAGTGTTTAAGTAATTAAGATAATGAAATGAACCGTTCAGTTAATAAATAGAACTGATTCACTTGGCTCGACATTAAAGTGAAATCGGAATCGTTTTTCGATAAATTGAGTTAGTCGAGTAAATATTAGTGCCTAAGTATTTTATGTAATGTATATGATTTGATTGATAAGTTATAAGTAGTAAGTAGAAATTATATAGACAAGAAGGTCTATTTATACTATTAAGAATATATTTGAAATTATATTCGCAAGTTTCGAGTTTTTCGGTGTTCAGTTGTAGTCGGTAATTAAGATTTCGTTTCTGAAAATTTAATTTTCTTGGATTTTTTTAACATGTTCCAAGATCATTATTAAGAGTTAAAATTTTCAGCATTAAAAAAAAAATATGCAAAAAGCAAAAGAGGGAAAATCCGAAATTTTTAGAATTTTCGATTTTACGGTAAACGTTCGTTTTAAATCAGAATTCAGTTCCGTAAATTGGAGAATTTTCATTAAGTCTCGAATTTAATAATTTATATCAGATTAGGATCAGGAGAGGGGCCTTTT